GTAACCAGTGCCTACATGCTGCTCAAGTTTCGAGATCAGTCTTTTGGTCTGGACCAAAAATGTGAATGGAGATGACCCATATCGCGTAATCTGCCTCAATTTTAGGGTTGGAAGCGAGAGGAACTGTTGGAGGCGAGTTTCCAGGAGTCTGCGATGCTATCAGTGCGGAATGCGTCGTCAAAGTATAAATGATATGAATATCGTCATGGCGATCAACAATAGCCACTGAACGTCTGGCCTTGAATATGCTGCTGGTGTTTAGGCCATAAAATTGAATCATTTTTGTTGATAAAGAATTGTGAAAGTGTGAATGGGAGTGTGCTAAAGCAGAAGTTTATATCCTCAAAATCGGAGGGATATTTATTTAAAAGATACAATTGATGAATAATTAAACAGATACAAGATTTCTTTGTTGTCATCCAGGCGTACTGGCTCCAGAATCCCGTTTATGTCGCTATATCTTCTCATTAAAGTCCTCACAACTCTTACTTAACATCTTAAGGGGGGATACGAACTTAATTGTTCCGGTTTCATTCACTCTGCAAAACCCAATTTGTTTATGACCAAAGCCAATCACAATAATAAGCTGGAAGAAATGAATAGAATCATAGTCAAGCCATGTCCTGTTACCATGTCAACCGTTGTGTTTCTGTATACGTAAGGGATATAAAGGCTATTTTCTATCAGGAAGCTCAACTAGACTTTAGGTTTCCAAGCAAAGGCCAGCAAAGCTCTCGACCAATCGGCTATAAACGCAATCCAGAGACGCAATTTCCCAATGGCCCCGCGATACTCCAAACCGTAACAATTCAGGGTTTGTTATCCAGCCGAAGTAGCAATCTGTCAACCGCTTTGAAAAGGGGAAATAGGGAGGCTGTGAGCAACATATAAATACCTCAGAATTCGTCTCTTGTGATATCTCTTGGACCCTTCCCCGTCAGCTGAACACAGTCTTCACTATGGTTAAGCAGGTGAAATGCAAAGTAAGTTGGTTAACTGGTGACCAGGCTAAAAATTGTCTATTGCATGTTAATGTTGATAGTAACAGTGAGATCAACCACTTTGATAGTTAGTCCGACAAGCTAAGTGCCATTTACTTGGCTTCAATTCACACGGCGCACCAGTAGCATTCAACGAGTAGTATATATTTCATCACGTAATATCATAAGTGGTGCAATACTTGATTACATTTAAAAAATAATTTCTTCTTCAGATGGAGTTTGAAGAGATTATCAGCAGTGCAGGGGATAAATTAGTTGTGGTTGACTTTTTTGGCGCCTGGTGCGGGCCCTGCAAGCAGTTTGCGCCCTTATTTGAAGATCTCTCAAGCTCTATGCCTGATATAATTTTCTGTAAAGTCAACGTTGATGAATGCCCAGTAAGTCAATATCACTTTAGTTTTTTGTTTCTAACACCATCTCGGGAATTCGGTAAGTGATCACTTACACGTTTCATTGTACGAAGTCACCAGTAAATAAAGAATGCCTCTCGTTTATAGCCTTAATTATACGGCTTTAGCAACTGAAAGAAAACACATAAATCACCCCGATCTCATCAGCACTCCTAACGGGAATCGAACCTGCGTCGTGCGCGGAAATGGAGACACGTTACTATTACATAATACTGCCACGGGCCCCATAACACGTTTTTTGATGGGGTTGTTGAGGTAGCAAACTTCTATTTTCCGATAAACTCGACTACGCTACTTGATGTCATAATAAGTAGAGTACGAAGCTTTCTGTTGACGCTGAATAAGAACCGTAATTCATCCTGAATTAGAATACCTTTTGCTAGGCAAGGCTAAGGGAAATTCAATGACATCACTATGTGCAACTTCCCCTTATTGGCCTTCATCATTTTATGTGACTTAGGGTGACTACATTTCTTATACAAGCTAAACTGATAGCCTCTAGGCCTTATTAACGGGCGAATCAGAGTCTAATGGCAGATTTCAAAAGCATTTGCTCAGAGAGTAACGGATTATGGTTATCAAAATCATACAATAATTCCCAGAGTCATGTAGCCACTCGTATAGACAAAGATTTTAACTCTTTGGAGTAATGCGAATGCAGAAGATTTTTAATTTGGAAATCGAACTTAATCTTATATGAATGACAATGAGCAACAGGCTAAAAAACGTGTTTACATGAAATATCAGCTAAACTTGTTCTATAATTCAGGCCTTCAGTTACCTACAAAGCCCTATTATTGGCCGGATATTATAAAGTATAAGAGCTGGGTAAAAATCTCACGATACTAAAAGTGTTTGTAGATTAATCAAGTTAAGTGGTCCAGATGGATAGATGGCTATTCATAAGCAGCAACCAAAGCTCTTGGAAATTGTTGCGAAGACCTGTTAATAGTCTTAACTTTTGAGACTGATACAAAGGCTCCGAAATGTGGGGCATTCGGACAGCCATGATCCAATCTCATTAAATCTCATGTAATTAATTTATTATTTACTCAGATCTGATCCGATATAATTTATCCGGAACCTATTCCATCAGACTTTATTTCAACCTTTAATCTCATCTCATCTTACCAATTCCTATCTCATAAAACGCAAGTAATCTAATCTAATCTATTCGAATTATTCTAACCTAATGTATTACAATTTAATCTAATATATAACGAGAAACCCCTATCTGCCCTGCTCTTAACTAGAATTTATAGATTAGGTGGAACTGAGTTTTTGATAAATATCATGAGATAACATTTGAATCTACAAGACTCTTCATCAGGCAATTTCACACGAAATGAAAATTACTACAAAGTTTTAACTAAATTCACTCAGTCTCGTCTTGTCTCTTCTCGTGTCTACGTTAGTGAGGCTAACCTGTTGTCGTTGGCTTACCATTTCCCGTCAACTCAGTGTGATTTTGCGATTGAAATTGGAGAGCAATCGTGTCTTTTCGGCCTGCTCGCATGATCATAGCTATCAATGGTATTGTTGCCATGGCAAGTATACTTGCACTACTGATTGATTTTGGAGCATTACTATAATTTAGCCTGTATCTATGGTTTCGGGCGCTCAGCTATCTTTGATCAAATGCCTTTAGTTTGCCTTGAGGGTGTTTTCCTACTCCACCTTTCACTTCATGGCGTGACTAATAACTCGGTCTTTCAAATAGAAAATTGTTTTCCGAGAAGGTAAAGATCGAACGATATTCAAGAATTAAAAAAAAATACCTTTAAACTAAATAATAGAGTAAACGAGACATGTAAAATAACTTATTATTTGCATGCCTTATATTTTTCCTTCCTTTGGTGGAGATAGTCGATTAAGGAGATATATTTCGAAGGACCCCATAAAATATCCTGAATTTCGCAACAGTCTATTTGTGTTAGGAGCCTTGAAGAAGGTATTGATAGGCAAAAAACTGTCACAAAAATTAGTTTCCAAATTTTATTGCCATCTGAATCTCATATCATAATGTCAAGCTAACACTATCTACTTATTGTCTAGATGACATTTATTTCGTGTGAAAGTGTGTGAATAAGAAATTCTTTGGCCGATCCCACTAGAAGACAACGGAAAATTTCCTCGGGTCTGCTCTTTGATCCTCCTGGGATAGTTAGGCTGATGAATTTCTCTAAACACCCTTGATCAGTTACCGTGACGACGTGGTAAGTCTTAATGTGACAATTCACTCGACAGAAATCAGCAGCACTGGAGCCTGAGGTAGACGTCATTAGCTGCTCTTATTACTAAAAATTATTGCTTGCTTTTCGTAGCTGGACGCAAATACATGCGAACTCGCCAACACAAGAATATGTAGAAATAAAAATACATTAATTATATCATTATCGTACTCCATAAAAATATCTTTGCGCTAAT